TATGGGTAGATTTTGATTGGACGTCTTGAAAGTTCATGTGTTTGTGGCTGTGTTTTCACTTTGTGGTTCCACAATGTTCTATAGAGTGATTGGTCTGTAGTCTTTTTACTTTAATGTTCCTTATTGTTTTGCGCTATAACTGTACGTCAATCGAATTTATGATATACATAACCACTATTCATTTATCTCTCAATCAATATCTTAAAATTCAAAAACACAAATGCACATCGTGCCTCAGGGATGAATTACAAAGAAATGAACGGAAAAATGCGTCATAGAGTCATAGATATTCATCGACATTTACGACTGCACATGTGGTAGCAACGAAAATACACAACAATGATACAACAGGCACTATTCTGGTGGTGAGGAAAACAGTGCATGACGAGGGGACGTAGCGAAAAGGCATGTGGTGGCATCAAACATGGTGTGGTGATAAAGCCTATAACTAGTTATAATAGTAAGTGTTGTGACTATTGATCATGTGGCAATAACGAAAACGACGTGGCTGCTTACAACGCTTCTTGTTGCGGGGGTCGAGAATAGCGTGCAATGGTGCAACTAATAATGACAGTGTTCTAACAGCGCGGTGATAAACACAATGCGGTGGAAGCCCCTAAACACTCCGGAGCCCTGAAGCTCAAGAGCGGACAACAATCCAAACTTGAACAAACACCATTCTGAGCCCTGTCCATCTATGTACCTATGTGTATTATATACAAATATCATCAAATATCTTTCTCGCAAGTTCGATCAATATCAATACATGTGCTCTTTCAGCTGCTTTACTTCTTGGTGCAAACTTCCGCCACTGCTTTCAAACTCCAAGGTTTTACCAAAGGGCAAGGCTTTTCAATGAAATCGAACTGAAGAAATGCAAACTATATAATCCATCACCGCCCAAGATCCAAATGTGCGATGCAAAATGTGACAACGTGCAATGATGCTGATGTGCCAATGCAACCAACGCATCCGCAAGCAAGTATCAAGAGTTTCTTCCTCCTAGATGAAGTAAATAGAATTATCTAATTTGGATTCATTTGCCGCTTTTCTATCGCACACTCTCTCTCTATCCATATGTATGGCTTCTTCTTGCAAACGTCTTGAGTCTTGCCACATTTCCCTGTCCAAACTACAGGTACAGCTGTCTCTGTACTACTCCTCTCCATCAAATCTTTCTTCTCAAGTTTGCAATTGTACTGCTTTCAAGTCTGCTTCTCTACTCTCCTACTTTCTTGCTGTCAAAACGCGATGTCTCTTGTTTGACGTCACCAAAGCTCCCCTCAAAACCATAGTGTATAGATCAGAGTCACGCACCTGAATGCGCTAAGCCTTATCTGCACGAATCCCATTCCACCTCAGGCCCCTTGTCCAATTAACTCGTTAATCGTTAAGCATTAGATCTTCATCTTTTGATTGGGGGTTGTCCAACCGGACATGACCACCTGAAGTGTTTACTGCGCAAAAATTCCAGTGTTCTGCAGCAAGTGGCCCTTGTAGGGCTATACCCGTCGCAAAGTGTAAGTAGGCCCTATCAAGCAAGGCCAATCACATTGGGATGGCGTTTCATAGAATGCTATGCCCATAAAAATGGGCAACTTTAAACATAATAGCAAGCGTCCAAGTTCATAGGACATGCCAAATATATTCAAATATAATGCGTTTGTTCCTTTCTCTTTCCGTTGCAACCCAAGCACCAACTCAAATGTGTGTCCGTTAATCTCAGTTACTGGCTTGTTGTTGTTGTTGCTGCTGCTGCTGCGTTTGGAGGACCCGGAAGCAGTTGGAGGCCCCGGCTACTCGCACTCAGGCAGTGACAAAGCTGATCATCGAGGCGGGCGACTTTCCTTTCCAGAATTCGCCAGAATTGGCGCAAACCCCAATTCCCTTCAAGGACAGCCCTCCAGCACGCGTTCTTGGAGCACGACAATTGTGTTCCATGCTTTGGCTTCCACAACTCAGGAGGCAGAAGTTGTGCCTGGAGACTGCAAGTCCCGTTGAACGACATGTCCATACAGCTCAAGCAACTCGTGGCATCAAGCGTCTGGCTCCTAGTGTCGGCCCGAATGAAGACTGGATGTCAGAGATCCAGGCTTGCTCAGCTCCAAAGGATGGTGCTCTCCAGTCCCTCGGATCAGAATGAGCGCAGAAACTAGGCAGCGAATGGGCTTCCATCATTTTGGACCTTGCCTTTGCCACAAAGCATGGTGCTACGCCAATGCGGCCCTCACAGGCTTTGTGTGTCTGGTGCAAAGGGCAGACTAACTGATCTGGGAAAGGGGCTCAGATCGCTTCGGGTTTTTTTCCATGGTTTGTCTCGCTCACATACTACCTCCTTGGCTGACAGTCCCTGGCTCACTCAGTACGTTGTTTGGGGAGAACATGGCACAGCTGGGCCCCGAGATGTCTCGGAATTCACAGCTGAGCTGCTCCAGTGCTGTGCCTCAGAAACTGTGACCATGGCATTGAAACGTAGAGTCAGAACTGGCAGTATAGTCCAGCCCATTGCACTTGTTCACGTGAATGAGCTTGACCAGGAAAGACATCACTTGAACGAACTCCTCCAACCCTGGATCAATGGGTGAAGTCAGCGTTTCTTGCAGCACATGGCCCTAAGTGTCTCTACATTGACCGCTTCGTCGATAGCACTTGTTTCCTAGGCCATTTTGCTCATGTGGATGTGGACTATGAAGGCGAGATTTTGATCCCCGTCTTCACAGGACCTGACCTGCATATCACATGGTGTCCACACACCGTAGTGGCATTTCCGTGCCATTCGTACTCCGCATGTTACGTGGTGGTGGGTTTTGTGACGACGTCAAGCCTCAGAGGACCGAGACGCCGCCAGACTGGTTCCATACTCGGGGAACCATGGTGTGGACCGTCCCTCTCAGTGAATGCCCTGAGTCAATGACCAAAGCTACCAAACCCTCCTTCCGACCTGCAAGGACAGAGACATGGAACCTGACCCTCTGACCGGCCAGGAAGCGGCGCTCCAGGAAGGCCTTGCATTCGAGCAAACTGAGGACCCGTGACGATGACCAGTCCCTGGAAGGACTTGATAGCATCTTGGCCAAAATCTGTCCGCAAACGTGGACCAAGACTTGCTGACAGCCGAACGTGCTGCTGACACACCGCGGCATGCTGATGACACTGCCATCGCTGCCCCCACTGACGTCCCTGCTGCCGAAAGCCGCTGAGCGCCTACTGAGTGAATGAGATGCCGGGAGGCCTTGCGGATCGATACCTCCTCTTTTTCCCTTTCAGTTTTTGCGGATCGAACGTTTATCTACCCCTGATGATGCATACTGTCTCGAATAGAGTCTAGGCTCAGCTTCGTCCCTGTGAGTCCAGCTAGCAACACACAGCTGAAGGCGGCGCAACTCTGAACTCGAGAGCGTCAGGAAGGAAGGAAGGCTGCTGCGTTTGGTGGCTGTGCTCTTTGTTTTGGCTGTCCACTTTGGCGTTCTTGTTGTGCTGCCCTCGTGTGTTCACTTAGCTTTAGGGTTTGTAAACTTTGGCAATGATAGAAATGGCCACTCAAAAGTGATTTCTATGTGCTTCCGTGGTGTTTTCGTTTTGTGTTCTTCTTTGGTTGGGTCCTGTCTGTCTTCTATGTCGCGGTGTGCTTTCTCCTGCTGGTCGTCTGTGGTTTTTGGCGTCTGGGTCTTGGTCTTTGGTTGCTCTGGTCTTTGTTCGTCGCCTGATGTTTTCGTGTGTGCGTGTCTCCTCTGTGTTGTCTGTGCAAAGCTGTGAACAAATTAAATTATTGCTCTATGATAGCGTATGGTGAAACAACATATCCATTCCCCCAGCGATACTCTGATGAGAGGGTGAACCCGTCCACTACATCACGCTGCAGTCGTGGAAACATGTCACGACCCTTGAGGGACTCCAATTCGAATCTGTCTGTGGTAGCGGGTGAGCAGTGAGCAGCAAAGAAGGAAGTGATGCTTGAGAGAACGGTACAGTAGACCGCATGACTTCGGCAAAAACAAAGAAGAGAGCAGCAAGACCTTGGAAGAATTCGCAGGACCAGGAGAAGATGCAAGTAAATGGAGATGTTTGCGAGAGCTCAACTGTACCTGATGGCCCTCCCCACGAATGCGCCAAAAGCAGTGGGGAGCTCGCTTGCTGGGACATTTGAGGCGAGGCGGAGCGAGGCGGAGGAACTCACAGAGCATGGGAACTAAGGAAAGGATAATTTGCGGAATTTGGACACCCTTGAAGAACTTGAAGTCGTCGAAGGAGCTACAATGAGTCATGCGGGACGTTGTGAGCATGATGAAACGTTGGACACCTACGCAGTCGGGTGTTGAGCTTCAAGAAGCGAAGTTCTCGCAAATTGAAAACATTGAAACACATGTTGAAACACTTGCAAACTAGCCGCTGCCTTGACTTGGTTTCTTTCAAATTCTTCAGCTTCATTGCTGACATTCTTCGCCCAACACCGCATGCAGGGCCACAAAAAAAACAAGAAACATGTGCACTCAACAGAGTTCGTGTGTATCCTTAGAATTCCAAATCCATTGGGTCAGTGAAGGATTGCACTCCATTGCACTCCTCCCTTTTGTTTGATGATGGAAGCTATCTCTATAAGTCTGACCAAGTGGGAACATTGCCCATGAGCAGTGCCGTCTACTCAGGTGGCAGAACAGCAGCTCTGCGTGGCTCAGGTGGTAGCTATGTATAATGTACTTGCCTGATTCAGGGGCTGTCCGAGCATTGCTCAGTTCTATGACTGCGCAATCGGACCCTCTACTCTGCATCCATGCTTGAATATGATACACCTGTACAGCATGAAGCACTGAAATCAATCTCTGTGGCTCACGGCAGTGATGAAAGTCAGCAAGAGAATGCATAGGCATAGGCATTGGAATGGCTGAGAACTACTGTGCCATACGATAATCTCTCGTACTTCCTTTGAATAACATCTCATGACGTGGCATTTTGCTCATTAAATTTCATGCATCATGTTTTTTTGAATTCTGCTTGCCCTTTCAGCCTGAACTTGCGGCAGCCAAGGCTTTACCAATCTGCCTTTCACGCGCGATGAATTCTGCGACCTGGTTAATGTCTGCCTTGGCGAACGGAAAGCACCAACAAGGACAACCCTGTCAACACAAAAACGGAGAAATAACTGCCCACACAGCACAAAAATGCAGGCTGATTGAGGCAACAGCAAGTATGCACACCCAAGCCATCAAACAGGTACGGTCTGGCAACAGATGTGCCTGTAACACTGCAACAGATTTCCGAAAAACATCGAAAAACCATATACAAGGCTCTCCTTGGGCTTTGCGAGACGCGCGCTCAAAAAGCAAAAACGGAAGTTGCGCGTTTTCAAATGAACGCTCGGGCCTATACGGCGTCGTCGAAGACCTCCAAACCTTTAGGCATGACGTGTTGTTATGACATTTCATTGGATTCTGACACGGCCCCTTCGTCCCTACAGATTTGGCACATATTGATACGGGGCTGTTTTCCAATGCGGGGACATTCTGGGTCATAGTGGACAACCCTTCCACTGCGATGCTTCCTCATGTTCAATTTTTTTAAAGCAAGCTTGATTGAACTCTTCCTCTCCAGCAGCTGGTAGATTTGAAAATTCGATTATATTCTAATCTCTCTGCTGACGGGCCCTCTTCAACTCTTCTTGTAGCTCACCGATCTGAGCCTCAGCTCGCAGCAGCTCATTCTGAAAGTCATTCATCTCCTCTTCATCCTGGCCCACGGATCAGACGTTATCCAGCCAGCCATTGTGTCGTTTGGACCTCTCGATCACACGAGACCCCTTGGGCAATCTCATTCATGATCTCCCTGTTCGCGCCGTCAGGAAGTTGACCCGCTCTGGAAGATCTCATGCAAGTGGTACAGAAGCCAATGTAGAACGCTCAAGGCCCCAATCATGGCACACACACAATGAGCGCCGGCCGATCCATCTTGTATGCATTGGGCTCGGTCTCACAGTCCATAGGCTCTCCCGCAAATGTATCCATGCTTGCCATCAGAAGGAGTAGTCCAACTCGAAGGTCTCTTGGTGCCACGCTTGATCTGGTACTGGTAGTATTCGATGTCCTTGAACTCCTCATAGCCCACACGGTCGCCTGCAGCATCAATCACCTTTATCATGTAAAGCAAACCGAAGAGTCTCTTCCTTGTCAAACTCTTTGTCCCAACATCTGTGCAATTCAGCTCTGAAGGTATATACTGCTGAAATGCTGAGCACCTTGTCTCTCTCCTGACGCTGCCAATGCCTCACTCCTCCAATGCCTTGCCGTTGAACCATGGCCCGTGCAGCTGAGCTGTCTGATCTCACTTCATCTTGCGCTCCTCACCAGTCATGGCTGTCCAAAGATGCTTGATCGTCGGGTCACCGACCCAAAGCTGCAAGTGATGCCCCAGGTATCCAGGGCATCTCTGAAGGGTTGAGGCAACTTTGGCATCATCTGCGGTTCTGGCCACTGATGTGCTCGCGCTCCGTCACGATGGCCTCGTGCTGAGGCGACTGCTCACTGAGCGTCTTCCCTTCTGCTGAACTCCCGACAGCTGCGTCAAGAGCGCCAGACTCCTCGCTCTCGTGGCCGGTTGCACCTCCTATTGAGAAGCATCTACCAAGCAGCAAAACCATTCTCCTGCTTGATGTGCCTCACCAACTTCAAAGGGCGTTGTCGAAGGTAGGAGGTCAAGAGGCTGTAGAGTCTCCCTGACATACCATTCATCTCATCTGCCAAATCGTCTAGGGCATAGTCTTCATTATCTTCATTGATATTCTTCTCAACGACGTCCGTGGCTGATCCCACTGCTGGGTCAATACCCTTCATGTAGTTGCAAAATGCAAACTCCCAATCACTTCGCATCTTCAATTCGTTGTCTCGTGTCGTTTGAATACGTCTGGGGTTGTGAGGTATCTCGACCATGTCTGTGTGGCCTGACTCGCACTCACAACCTTTCCAAGGCCGCTGCCACGCCATCCTCTCCAATCTCAAGGTCTTTGGATAGTAGCTAGGTGTGCACCATCCTGTTCAATCTCGGAGTCCAAGCCGCTATAGCTCAGAAACTCCCAAAAGTGCCAATGATTGATCAAGGCACCAATCCGCTCTTCTTCCAAATCTTCTCTCGTTCCCTCAATCTTCTCCAGGAATTGCCAACTCGCAGGCACAACCACTATGATTTCACGGCAGTCTATTTTCCTCTTCTTCTTCGGCTTCTTCTTTCCGATCAGGAGTGTGGCCTTTGCTGACCTATCGCTCTTCACCCACGAGAGCTTGCCGATACAGTCCTGGGACCCCACAAAGATGCTATGGAGTATCCTCCTCATCATCTTCTCCGGACCAGCTACCAGCCTGGTAGTAGCACACCTCCTGCTGAGTCCCTCCTGCTGCAATGCCGCTGGAGAGGCAGGCCAAGGTGAGGAGCGTGTAGGTCGAGGTGTCCACGTCGTTGTGCCCACGTGTATGGGAGCCCCGGCTCTTACGGCCAGGGCTCCGCTACCATGAAAAACGGAAGTCGTGCGTTTTCAAATGAACGCTCGGGCCTATACGGCATACAGCGTCATCGAATGACCTCTAAACTCCAAACCTGTAGGGATGACATGTTGTTAATTCAGTTATGACACTTCATTGGATTCTGACAGAAAGGCTTAAAACATTTCAGCAAAGCAAACTGTACCTTTTGCAGCCAGAGCGACGAACGCACTCAGGTTCCCCGAGATGTTGCAGGATGGGTCGGCTGGTCCAAATGCCATACCGACTGGCTTGGTACAGTCAGTATGAAGGCCAAAGGAGTGGCAGTCTGTCGTTAACAAGCAATTCCTGAGATATGCAGCAACCATCAATCACAGCCATTACTATTCCACAAAAGCCCATAAAAGCAAATCTCCAGCTTATCTCCACCGCTGGAGGATTCTTTCAACAACGACTATGCTGGAAAAATATCCAGCATCTTGGAACTTTCTAAATTATCTGCTGTGCACAAATTGCACTTTTGGGCTTTCATAGTCCGGTAACTCCTTTGCGCAGGCTGAACAACCCATGTGTGTGAGGATTGCATTCAGATTTATTTCTTAAGCCCTTGCCCTCAATGAAAGCGAGAGAATGCATTGCTCATTCGTCTGCCATCCGTAACAGAATGACCCCCAATGCAGGCCATGGTGTACTCTCTGTTGCTTCAGCGCTAGTGTCACCAATAAGACTTACCTTTGCTTCGCTAAGCTGCTTCCAGTCACTCAACATGATGCTTGTGATGTGCATGTCCTTAAGGGGGATCAAAACCAAAGCAATTCGTCATATAAGGGGTAGGGTCGAGGTGCTTGGTGATCGGAAGCCTTTGCAGTAAGTTATTTCAATCGTTTGCAACATCAATTCCAACCCTCCCCTTGTAAACGAGAACTTCACCTCCTTCAGAGCTTGCTTTTGTGACAAAGCATGAATAGCATAAACAAGGATAGTTGCAAAGACATGGCCGCAAAAGCTTTGCACGTGTTGAAGTTCAAAGAAAAACACGCACCCACTGTGCAGAGCAACCGGAAGCTTCTTAATGAAATATGCTTGTCCATCTAGATGCATACATATATATATATGTATAACGCGCAATGTGGAAGTTCAAAGTCACACGCTTCCCTATCATGAAAATATTGCATGGACGAACCTCCAGTATGCCTTTGGAGTGAAAACGAATCCATGCAAATCACTAAGGCTTTCTGAAGCAAACTTTTCGTCCAGTCTGCATGGACGCATGGCTCACCTTTGGACACAATCGGTATCGCATACTGTTTGTTGGGAGGTGAAAAGATGTGAAAAGCATCCCTCGGGCATTGGATTCTCTGTGCAGGAACCACCATAGAAAAAATCCTGAGCTCTCTCGTGCAGATTCAGCCAGATTCTTCATACTTGTACAGTAACTGCAGAAGTCCGTGTCTCATCGATAAATACAATACATCCATTTATGTATGAAGGTGTTTATGCAGCCAGGTAGCCACAGCTTGCACACACACACACATTGAACTGGGAAATTGTGCAGTTTCCCACAAACAATCAACAACCCTTAATCTTTGGTACCCTGTCAAACTCCATTCTTGAGCCACCTATCTTGCACCACACATGAGCTCCAGTTCAAAGGCTGGCTGTCTTCTTAGAGTTCCTTGTCTGGTCTCTCTCTCTATATATATGTCTAAAAAGCCAGATTTCATCTGTTTTTTGATAATGAATGAAGTATGACCTCTATCTCGGAGGATCTTCAAAATTAGTGCCCTCTTCTCTACACACATGCACATGCAAACTGTAGACTAAGCATTGAAGCTCATTTGTGGCTAGCACACCCTGCAGCACGTTGACACCCATTCGCAAGTCAGCACGCATTCTTGCACATTGTTACAGAAAGCTCTCCATCAGTGAGGAATCGAGGACACCACAGAAATTAATCGGGTCTCTCGCACATGTTGCGTTATCTTTTGCCGTGGTATTATCTTGCCTCTTCTTTTCCCTCCAAGCTTCTCCCCACACACATCCACACATTCATCATTAGGTCTCAACCAGCTGGGTTCCAGCTGCGTGCCTTCTGTATAGTCCTTGGCTCCGCTTGGCTCTGGCAGTCTTGCGGCGTTTCGTGAAATCGAACCAAAGCGAAGCAGCCATCTGGCTTCCACTTTCGGCCGCGCACTTTTCCAAACAATCTGCAATCTCCCTTGTACGATCTCCATGGGATGGGTATGCTGCAATGCTTTATCACAATCCCATGCAAGTACAATTGCCTTACAGTACTTGCCTTGCAAACAAGCGCGCGCTTTACTAGAGACAAGGCCTGAAGAAAGAGATTGGCATTGCATTCTTTGCATTTTTTTGCCCGAGAATCATTCCATGTTGTGAGTTGGATGAATTCGGGCCGGTGACGCCTTAGGCGCACAGACAAAGCGCAAAGCATCCTGTTGGGAACTGGAAAGGAACCAGAGTCAAAAGGATTTCAATTAGAGCGTGATAGAGCTGGACTATATTTTACTCACTAGAACCACTCGCTGTAGCTAGCTGTAGTGGCTTTAGCCCGCAGTATTTTGCTCTTAAACCCGGCCTTGCCCTCTGCAAAGTGATTTCCAATAAAGAGACATTCGGCTCCTTCGCACATAAAGCACATGTCACAGGTCAATTCCTTTTTGAAACGAGTCGAACAAACACAAACGACTCGAAGAGTTGGACAGTCCTGAAGAGTCTTGTTGAAGTAGCAGTCTCGATATCCGCGGAAGACCGAGCCAGAGGATACCACAGGGTGATCTTCCTCATAATACCTGCCATCTTCATTCGGCTTTGTTCTGTCGGATTCAGTTTTGTGATTCGCAAGCAATCTCACACGATCCGAGCCTCTCAAGATAAGTGTCCGACACCCAAGTGTAAGTGTCAGAAGCCCACTCGGGAGGAACGAGTTCTATCCTTGAGATGTAGATTGCGTTGATCGGCAGTGGTGAAAAAATGGTTTCTTCGTTGTTCCAAATGGGCACAATGGGCAATCCTTGGTGCCGATAGTAGTGCGGCTCTTGGGTCCAATTTACCACTTTCGGTGCCGTGGTGATCATGACATCTGGAAAGGTTGCGGAGTCGACCATGATAGCAAAGCCCATTCCTCGAGTTTTCAGACCTGCTACGACTCGATCGACATGGTCATCCCATGTTGACATTTGGTAATCAATCCATAAACCGTCCAAGCCAGATGCTGCCATCAAATCCAGTTGTCTGTCAATTGTAGTCTGGTCACTGATGTCGTATGCTCCCAAATAGCTGGAATAATATGAGTTGCCATAAGTGGAACACCAATGGTCATTCTTGTAAGTACAAAGAGGCCCTGCTTGGGCACATGCTTCATTTACATTGTTGCCCAAGAACCAGGGCAAGTAGTGGCCCACAAATTTCCTTAGTTTAGGTTTAGGCTCTGCATTCCACATACAAGGCAACTTTGTATCCAACTCTAAACACTCAGGTGACTTTTGACAATTCGGAAAAAGATTTGGAGCTTGCAGACCGAGGGAACCACAATTGCAAACGGATGGCAAGCAAAAGCAACGTAAAAGCTATGCCGAACTCAGCTTACGTCATGGACAGTCAGGAAACAAAATGCATTGCCTGTCAATACGAGGTGCGTTTGACGAACAGTGCGCACCTCCCCCGGCGGCAACACCAGGCGAGAGAAACGAGATGCTTTCCTCCAACACATGAACCAAAATTGCAATAAACCAAGCAACCAAAGCACTTCAAGCAAATCACAAATGTTGGAACATATCAAGACTTTCTTCGAGCTACAGAATGTTGTGGGACAATAAAGGCTTGCCTGCAGGACCACAGAAACACATGACTTCCTGCTGTGTTGGCAGCATCCAGGCACATATCCAGGTGCACAGCCCACCTGGAACGTTTCTGCACTCCCAAACCAGACCCTCAAGCCTCTGGATCAAGAATCTCTGCGTGTTCTTACCGTATATACAGTTTTTATACACGGTGAATCAGAGTATGGTCTGTGGCCAATGTGGTTTGGCACAAGAATGGGAAACACATCGGATGCCTGCGAGTGCGCACCGCTTTGGAAGGTGCAAAGAGCCGACCAAAATGCGCCCGCACCAAGGGTGCTGAGGGCTGCTATTGTGTTTCACACAGCTCCTATAGCTTTAGCCGGGGGCGTTTCAGTTTGGGAACGGAATTGTATATCCGACATCGTGAGGTGTGTCTGGAGGGAAGTGGTGGTAGGAAAAGCATGCAAAAACATTCGGAAAATGCATGGTTTTTCAACTGTTGATTTGGAATTGGGTGCCATACTGATGGACAAAATCCTGCACCACTTTGCGCACAGCTTTCTTGCTGCCCTCGTTCTCCCTCGTTAACATTGGGGCCACCACAGTGAGAAAATCAAAACAAGTCGAAGGTCCAAAATCCTGCGCCGCCTCCTCAGAGGGGTCGCGCCAACATTGAGTGAGGGGGCGCGGGGGTTGCTATGCGACCCTTCCAGGGTAAAGTGGTGAGGTGGTGCAGGATTTTCGTCCATCAACAGTACCCGACACAGGGTTGCACCAAGCAGACACGGGAAGGCCAACGCAATGTTAAAAAGACACTTGTGGAGCCAATGACACAGGTAGAACGAACTTGTGAAACCAGTGACACAGGGTTGCGGCACGCAGACAGCGGCAACAACCAAACAGCGGCAATGAGACACAAAGAAAAAATTGCCATATACAAAACGATACAGTAAATAGTACACATGAACGGCACCGGCGCCTGAGAAGGCGGGACGAAAGCCAGCGCGTTCTTTTCGCATGCAGCTGGGGGGCGACAAAAACATCCATGGACTTAGCGGACCCCAACATGCAACAAAACTCCACCTTTTAAGCGCTCGAGAATGAAAGCAACATGGAAGGACATGAAAATGAAACGCTGGAGTGAGTGGATGATCATGGCTCTAGCAGGTAGGTGGTAACCGCTTCTGGGGAGTTTTTTGTTAGCCTACTCAGAAATCAAGCAAAGCACGCTTGTCGAACCCGTCGACGTGGCCTCTTCCAAGAACCCATAGCTCTATCAGGTCAAGGGGAAATGCTTGGGCTTGGTGAGCGTACTGGTGGCTCCCTGTCAGATGACAGCAATCAATGAAAGCAATTAAAGGCACGAAAACAATGAAAGTAGAACGAATGCTTCATGACCGCCGCTGGAGCCAGTCGACGGGCTCCTGCCAAGAACCCACGGCTTTAGCTGTCAGTGTGTGAAAGCAGAACGAAAGCAGCATGACAACATAAAATCAGTGTGAAAACAGATGAAAGCGGAATGAAAACAAAGCAAAGCCTTTGAGGATCTTGGACGTAACCCCATACAACTTTGTGATGCAAATGAGGCAGCAACCTTTTTGCTTTGCAGCGTCTGCATCACGAACTATACACCCACAAAATTGCCGCGCGCAAACAAACCATGAACCCCTGCAACTGGCGGATTTACGCCCTGGCGTTCTGTGGTCTCCGCCGCTCTGTCGTTGTCCATCGTGACTTTGTGTTGAGCGCAGCCGCAGCTATGGCGAAGGTTTTCCCTGAAACGCTCACTGACTCCAAGGATCTGCGTGACAGCCTCCGAGATATGTTCCGCTGTGCTCAGTGGACGTCTCGCTTTACTTTCCGGGAGAACGAGTTTAGCCGACGCATTTGACCCAACCTGCGACTTCAGCCCACTGTCGCTCTTATGACCCCACCGGACAAGGAGTTCAACCTGCCGCGTTGCCGGCTGAACACAGGTTGCCCCGTGCCGCTGCTGCACCAGGTCACAGTGGACACTCCTCTCAGCCTCGTGTCAGCGGGCAATGTGGGCGCCAATTTCCTTCGTGGTTCGGTGCGCATCAACACCGTGAAGTTTCCTGATGACGAAGCAGTGCAGCAAGACAATTCGGCCACATCGGCCATGTGAGTGAAGAGATCTTTTGACCGCCTCCTCTCCAAAGGAAGCGATGCCCGGCTTCGGTAGTGAACTGGATGCTCCAGGGTCGCGCCGGAGAAGACCAACCACCAACCACCAATTGTCCGCTCCTGTGTCTGGTGACGTTAATAACATTTTGGGTGTAATTTTCACAGTACCGGTAACCATATTGTACAACTGCTTGCATTCGCTCGTCTAATTGTTCACACCCTTGCAGTCGCACATTCTTCAGAGGGTCCAACTTATATCCAAAAATGCCTGTGACTCTTGTGGGACACTCTTGTAGGGCACCCTTGTCGGACACTCTTGCGGGAAACTCTTTGGTGGACACTCTTTTCAGCGACGCGTTTGGAGGACGCTTTATGCGGGGCTTCTTCCAAAAATCACATGTCATGTCAAGTCTCCAAACGAGCATTTCGTACGAGACTTCCTCCAAAACAGAGAGCTCTCCAAAACAAGCATCATCAGAGCGAACACATCACGCAGCTCTGCCAAGCAGATTCGCAGTCTAAGCTCGTCCTCGAAGACTGGCTGCTGACACCGTTCGCCTGCACCAAATGTGCGCAACTTCAAGATGCCCTGCGCCTGCCAGGCAACTTGCATCCCAGCACCTCCAGCACACACAAAGCACTGCACCTGCCACCAAAAGTGACCATGCCACACCTTGACAAGTCTAAATTTCCAGCGCGCTACAATGTTTAACGTAATTTCGACCCACTGCTTCATACAAATCCCTCCAGATCGCAACTCGCTGAGACAAGGCAACTCCAAGAGCATATCCTGGTGCAGCGACATTCAACATTGCACAGCTCAGGCATGTTAGGTACCATATCACACGAACCTGATACTTCATACTTCCATCCACCTCCGAAAAGCTTCCAACGGGAGGGCCTTATCGATCACACAAAACGGTTGTGAACACGAAAGCAACGAACGAGAACCCTATTGTGCATCATTAACATGTGGACATCATGTTCTCTCCAACAGCTGCGGTTTGCACTTTGGTTTTCTCGGACCTGATCTGCCCAATTCCACTGTCTGGAAACAGGAACTGCATGTTAGGATGAGCCTTAGAGTGCAGCACGAAGGGCAACTGAGAAACGCAGAAGCAGTTTTTTGGAGGACTGCATTTGGTGGTGCAACCTGGGTGCCAGCTCACCACAGTCCCAAATCTGTATTCTCGTGCCATTACCTGAAGCGCGTGATGTCTCAAACGCATTGATGATCGCAATGTGCCAACTGCTCATTCATTCAGCTCCAACACGTGGTCAAACCGGTTGCATCATGAAGTATCATGAACCACTTCTCAATCGCAAACCAAGATACTTTTGGTTCCAGAGTCAACATCCAGGCATTTCTCTGGGTGGTCAAGCCATCGAATTTGCGCCGTTGACTCGTTGTTCAGAATGAAACGCGTGGAGGAGCCAACGCAAGGCCATACTTGTACTTGGTTACCGTTCATGGTCAGCCCACCAGCAACATCCAGGCACAGCTCTGGGTTGGAAGCGATATGTATCTGACCGAGTCGGCTGCCTTCTTCAGCTGCTCCTGCTTGCGTGGCTCCATATCTGAGGCAAATAGAGCCTGGAGCCACTGCAGTGTCATCTATTCCTCCAGGCCTGGTCCAAATCAAGCAAGCTCCGGAGGGCTTGAACTCAATCCCTTTACAACCGGGCGATCCCACACAAAGTGCTTTGCACTTTGCGAGAGTTCCTGCCTGTAAATTGACCTCTCTGAAATGCTCAGTGGAGTTGTCCCAGGGCTTGGCTCCTCTGCAGGCTCGGTCTTTGCCCCCATCGGCTGATGTAAATGGTTCATGCCGATAACAGAAAGAGCCTTCCTGAGCAACGGAAGATTCTATGCCAAAAGCTCTAGTCCATAGTTCACACCCTTGCAGGCTGTAGGACACTCCTTTACAGCCAGGTCTTGCCATGCACACTGCCTGACAAGACCCAAGCGAACCAACCTCAGAGAATAGGATGAAGTTTTGCTCTCCTGAATCTTCTTCATTTGATCCTCGACATGCACGATCATGCCCACCATCTACTGCCTCAAATGCCACATAGCGATAGCACACTATACCAGAAACTATTGCAGTTGCCCCAATTCCCTCATACCGTGTCCACACTTCACACCCGAAGCGACTGTACTCGACGCCTTTACATCCAGGCGTGATCGTACAAATGGCTTTGCAGGCATCCAAAGTTGGAGCCATGTCCAGCGCATACCAAGAATAATGGCTTGAGTTCATGTCGAATCTGTCAGCTCCTCGGCACGCGCGATCCAAGCCTCCATCTGCTGGTAGGAAGCCATCAAGTACGTCCGACGGGTCCCATGAACCATATCGCATACACACTGACCCAGGTGATGGTGCGGAGCTGCCAATTCCTCTGTCCTTAAAGCATAAACATTTGCAGGTCAGCAACATGGAGTGGCACTGGCTCAAAAGACGTATGACCAATATGTGAGTTCGATATGTGGCAAAAAACGAGCCACCATCTCAAAATAGGTTTCGACACCCAGCGACACAGTCACAGCTCGTCCTCAAGCATGTTTTAGGGTTTCCAAATGTTTCGATTACCACCATGAGCTCTGCTAACGATGTTTACATTGCGTAGAAATTTCAATCTGGCCTACTAAAGCATTGTTTCGCCAAATGTAAGGCAAAAAACAGGAACACGTTGTGTGCAGCAAGACCTGTTTCTAAGTGTTCCAATGTTCCCATGGTTCGTCTCAGGCTTTGATTTCAAAACGAAAGCTTAGCCCAGACGCCCGGGCCCAAAGTTCACATCGGCCATCTCGGCTGTATTCGATGCCGTTGCAGCCTATGGTGCCCATACAAAGATGCTTGCACTCCTGGAGCTGTTTCAAGGAAATCGTTTTTGAAATCCAACTTTGCAATAAAAGCAAGGGCAAATTTGAATGTAAGTGAAAAAACACGCTCAAAGACCACAACTTGTGGAAAGGGTGAAGGCATGTCTCTTGAACAATGTGTAAACAGGTGCTCCAACTAGGTACACGCGCCATAGATGGCCGCGGGGTTTTGTCCACTTCTAGATGATTGGCTTCAGTACTTGCAGGGCCACTGTGGAGAAACCAGAATGTCTGAGTGGTATGTTTGAACACGGCCCCTGACTAGGGAGAAGAAAACGTGTCCAAAGAACATGAAAATTACGTTTGACCCCTGGCACTACCCAGCCCCAAAAGCTAACAGGAACCCTGATTTTTTTCATGCCTTGAGGAGTCATTGTAGTTCGTCCAAAAATCCATTGGGCGTTTTGCCAACCATGCTCTGTCTCCACATCCACTGAAAGCACTTTTGCTTCAGCAAGGAATTTAGCAGCGTGTGGCCATCCTCTTTTTTGGTCATCCCGAACATTGGCATTAGAAACTCTGTCGGAAGCCTCCAAGATCTATGAATTGCTTGGGTAGACACAATTCCCTCATGGAGTTGTGTTTCCATGTCATGAGCCGAACAACTGCAGTGCGATACGAAAGACCGGAACCCCCAAAACCAAACGTGTACTGCGCGAAAAAACCTGTGTATAGAACCTCGCCGACCCCGTCGAAAAATGATTGTTGAAACCCACAATCATGATGCTCGAAAACCATAACGTAGCTACCCCCCGCCCCATCTTCCAACAAGTGTGTGTGTGTGTGTCACACTCTGTTTCAAACAGTTTTCCACAAGCAGGGGACGGGTCACCACCGATACTGCCCGTCCAACGAAGAGGAGTGGAGGACGCTCCACTGTGTACCTGCATTGAACGCAATGACACCAATGGTCCGCCCTGCCGTTGTTCGTTGGTTCCATGGTTTTTCTTCACGATATCTCCCTACACCTTTCCTTTCACCGCTGATGTGCAACCGCCCTGATCGCTTTGAGTACATTTGAGAACAATGTTAAACAATTCGAGTTGTGCTGATTTGCGCCTTTCCGTTCCCTCATTCCTTTCTGCCTGGGAATTGATGTAACTGCAAACCCATTATCTAAGTGTGTGCCGCTCTGCCGTCCCACTTGGGTGCAGGGTGTGATCCCCCGCAAGGGGGCGCTGCTTTCATTCCGGTGTATCGTGTAACTGATTCAGTTGTTTTCTGCACGCGTTGGATTCTCTTAACTGATTTTCGTCTCACTCACTGTATTCTCGAAATCCACACCGCCGGGTCCACGGAAATTCGAAGCCGCCGGGCATACGGAGAATTAACCCCGACGTGTTCTCTACCCAAACACCCCAACCCCCCCGTCCCTCTAATTAGGGTAACAGACGGAAATGGTACTCGACACACTTGTGCGTCGGTGCCTTTCCCTCTGTTGTCCCTTTTCTAGTCTACTCTACCCGGGCGGTGTAAGACTAAGACCCGCTCCCTAACTATTGCGCCTATTTCACTTCGGCTAAGTAATCAGGAACTCTAGAGTGCTAGGTATTCATACACACACACACGGACACACACATGTACATATATCCCTGCCCCCCCACTTTCTTTCTTGCGCTTTTTGTCGTTTCTTGGGCTTTCTCTCAGGCTTTTTAGGTTGTTCCTGAAGCTCGTTTCCCTACCCCAGTCAAGGGCTAAGCATTCACCTTTTACTACCCCTATCTTTCTCTCTCGCCCTTTTAGCGCTGCTCTTTCTGGTTTTCTTTCTTTTGTTTCTAAGGCTTTTTAGGCGCCTATTTAGGCCGCGAGAGCGCCGCAAAGCGGCCGAGTGTGTGTGTGTGTGTCACACTCTGTTTCAAATTTCCACAAGCAGGGGGACGGGTCACCACCGATACTGCCCGTCCAACGAAGAGGGCTGGTGCTGAAGCAGTGGAGGACGCTCCCTGCATTGAACGGAACACCAATGGTCCGCCCTGCCGCTGTTCGTTGGTTCCAGGGTTTTTCGCCGCTGATGCGCAACCGCGCTGATCGCTTTGAGTACATTTGAGAACAATGACAATGTTAAACAATTCAAGTTGTGCTGATTTGCACCTCTCCATTCCCTCATTCCTTTCTGCCGGGGAATTGATGTAACTGCAAGCCCATTATCTATGTGTGTGTAACTTTTGGAGTCACCTGCGTATAGGAAATGGAAGACCAAAAGGTGTTGTGATTCCACCTAGGTAACAAATTTTGCATGAGTAAACCGGGCAGAACGATAAAGTGCGTTAGAGGCCATCGCTAGGAAGTTGGAGGCCATCGCCCAAGTTTGGAGGCCATCGCTAGTAGGTTAAACGCGCAAACACAAGCAACATCAGGCGACGAGGGGGAGCGGTGGGCAGTCTTGAAGTCACCGGTCAACGAAGGCTTCTCCAGGGCTTGGGGCGATCAATTCAGCGCGCGCGTCCCGAGCTGTCTGGCTTCATGCCAGTTCAAGGTGTACCATTACATCAGAGTTTAGAAAACCCGCGGGTGGCAATCGCTTCTCCCGGCTATGACGACCGCCCCCATCCTCCAGGTCTTCGATCGATACGAGGCCCAGGTTGCTGCTCATGACAGCGGCATTCCACTGAGGCAACGCGGCGCCAAACGTCAGGCTGCCACTTCCCATCACGAGTTTCAAGCTAAAACAGTGGATCGATTACTGTTGAAATTTTCCAGAGCCCTGTTTTGCAACAGCTTCCACTTTCGGAGGCAAAACAAGTGGTCCAGGGGATGGTCAACAATCTTTTGACCTACGACCAGGATCTGACCAATGCCGTGACTGCTGGACCTTCCTCGGGGGCATCAGCTCCCATCCCACAAGCAGCGGATATGGGTACTCCTTCATCGGGTTCTCAATCCATGGACATCTTCCGGGTCAGCTCCCCAGTTGCTTGACCCACAGATCCCTCCTCGCTCCAATGATCCGGCGTTGTAGCTATCGTTGTAGATTTGCCTCTTCCTGGACCCTTCTCTGCAGCGCTGCGGACAAAAAAAGTCCCGCCGTGCCGCAGTGCTGCATTTTTCATTTACATTGTATTTTTCACTTACTTAGCTCATTTTTGCAGGGCGGCCGCCCATGTGGGGGCACTTTTGCGCCTGACGCTGCCTCCGTTTATTGCCGCGGTGTTGGGAACTCGTTGGCGCCGCATTCCCTGACGCTCCTTTCCCCACTGATGCGCTTCCTGGTCTGACAGCGCATACCCCCCTGACGCCGGCTATTGACGCCGCATTCCTTGACGCCGCGTTCCGGTCTGGCGCCACATACCCGCCTGACGCCGCCTATTGACGCCGCATTCCCTGACGCCGCGTTCCGGTCTGACGTCGCATACCCCCCTGACGCCGCCTATTGACGCCGCATTCCTTGACGCCGCGTTCCTGTCTGACACCGCATACCTCCCTGAAGCCGCCTATTGACGCCGCATTCACGCCGCGTTCCTGTCTGACGCCGCATACCTCCCTGACGCCGGCTATTGACGCCACATTCCCCGCATCAGGCCGCGTTCCCCATTGACGTTGCGTGATTATATCCTTGAATCGAAAAAAGGCCCTTGCGACCGGGGGCCGTTTCCAGGGTTAGAAGTTGGCGGCAGCGTCAGGCGCGAAATCTGTTGGTGTTGTGCTTTATAGCTTCGAAATACCCCGGGCCTCTCCTGACGTCATTCTCACCGTGTTTACAGTGACTCGGATCAACTGTTTATTGGGCTTTATCTGAGCAAATTAAAAAGAAATCGTGGGTCGTCGGTTATTTTCGTTAAATCGGAAACGAAATTATGTGACGTCGTTGGAAATATGAAATTAAGTGACCTCGGGAAGACCTAGCACCCCAACCAGCGCACGCACCCAGTTGTGGACGTGGCTTGGTTGGGGTGACCGTTACGGTGAGCACCTCCATGGCGAGGCCGCTGTTTGAATCTTCTGTACTGGGAGAGATCCAGTTGCAGGCAGTGGACTGGATGCCTGGGAACAGCATTGCGTATTCTCTTTTCGATCTCTCCAATGCTTGGGGGTGTTGACCCTACGCTCATGTCGTGTGGGCTACAAGAGTTTGGCTTTGGAGGCGGTTCCAGAATCCGGTATTTGAGCTTTCAACTGGGGCTCGGTAAACCGGGAATAGGCGTCAAGGAGGCCTCGAACCAACCAACCGTCGCAGAACCCTATTTCGCCAAAAGAAGGTTTTCTGACGGGGGCTGCCTTTTCCAGCTGCTCGTCGCGGTTTCCTATACTGGGGCTCGGGCTCGGTAAACCAGGAAAACAAGTCCAGGAGGCCTACCTTTTCCAGCTGCTCGTCGCAGTTTCCTTACTTATACTGGGGCTCGGTAAGCCGGGGAAAACGGGTCCAGGACCCCCGAACCAACCAGCCGTCGCAAAACCCCATTTCGCCAAAATGGTGCTTTTTGATGGGGGCTGCCTTTTTGAACTGCTCGTCGCAATTTCCTTGCTTACTGGGGCTCGGTAAGCCGGGAAAACGGGTCCAGGAGGCCCCGAGCCAACCAGCCGTCGCAAAACCCCATTTAGCCAAAATTGGGTTTTTTGATGGGGCTGCCTTTTTGAGCTGCTCGTCGCAGTTTCCTTGCTTACTGGAGCTCGGTAAGCCGGGAAAACGCGTCCAGAAGGCCCCGAACCACTCAACCATTCTGAAACCCAACGTCGCCAATTCTTGTTTGCTTTCGGCCCTTCGCGAACCCCCGCGTGAGCGGCCCAGCGGCCCAGCGGTCAGAAACGCGCCCTCGGAAGCGGAGCGCCCGGGCTCAAACCCCCAGCCTTGGCAAGCTTCCCGTCTTTCCAGCAATGTGCTTGTTTGTGTGTCTTGCGCGCGCGGCGAGAAAACGGTGGTCGCTTAAATGAAGAGGGGTATGCTCTAACAAACATCAACCTTTAGATTTGTGTGTGAGGGCTTTCCGTTGAAGCAACAGGCTGCCAAAAGAGGCTTAGCTTGCTAGTGGGACGATCTTACTTAA